GAATGTGTTCACTATCATTTCCCAATGATCAAGGAGGGAAAAAGTCTCTTCACAAAACCAGTTCTACCACGGGCATTCTGGTGCACTAGTTATTCACACATTTTATTATCAAGTTTGTTTTCTCCAATATTCTGTATTTTTTTTTCAATCTGTGTATTTATCCACTCCTTTGGGACTAATGGAGTTGACCACAGTTTAGTTTTCCTCTCTCTCATTCTCTCTCTCTTTTTTTTTAATAATGACAGATAAAGAAAGATTTCTTTTCCTGGCAGAGAGGTGGAGGCTAATTGCTGGGTTAATTGAGAAGAATGGTGCTTCTGATGTTCTCACAAAGTATCAAATAGCCTCAACATTTTTCTTCTCCTTCCTCCCCCTCACTCCACCTAAAGAGGCTCATTGAATTAGCACATTATTGTACAGAAGTGATTATGGGTGTAATTGTATTTATTTTGGTTGGTGGGGAGGCCATCATAACAGCGGTTGATTGATTTTTATAAAATCACCCCCAAGGTCATATGTAGGACTTTGCTTTCCTGTGTAGCCATAACAAACAATTTGAGGGTCACGGCCGAAGGCTCAGTTGAGCAATATTCTTGCTTTCTGCCTTCAGTGAAAGGGGTCAAGTGCAATAAAAAAGGGAAGCAAAACTTTTATTTTCTTTTTAAGGAAAAGGAAGATAGTCTTGTAGAGCAGTAGCTGTATATTTATTCTGATCCAATGAAAACAACAGAAATAAAAAGAGCTTATGTTTTGAGGGACCCTATATAAATTTTGGGCATAAGTATTTGTAAGTTTGACTAGAAGACTTCTTTTCTTTTTTTTTCTTTTTTTTTTTTTTTTTTTAATCCTTGGATTTTCAAATGACTAAGAGACTACCAGCTAATGCTTACTTTTCTGTGATACTGATTTTTAGCTTTCAGTTGGATTTTACTGTTATGCTTTGTTTCTGAAGACCAAATTTCTTTTGACTTTGCTCTGGAAAAATACAGAAACTTTCCAAAGAGCCAGTGTGCAATGACATTACGATGCCACCATGTATATAATAACAGATATATCTGGTTCCTACGTAGGGTATATTTCCAGTGCTTCCGTGCTAGCTTTGGCTGCTGCTTGTAATGGAAAGTCAAAGCATCATACATAGCAAATTCCTTGAGGTGGAAGATTTGCAAGTTTTTGTGTCACTTTGGAGTGTGCTTGGGGTTGTCAGTGTACTTAGGGTCAGAGAAACCTGAGAACTAGACAACAATGCCCACCTGGAAGTCCATTTCTCATTCTCCCTGGTTTTGTGTAGGATGTTCTTTAGAAAAGGTCAAACATTCACCCAAAGCATGGCAAGGTTATTGCCTGCAACTCTGATGTAGTTGGAACACGTTGGGACTGTGACGTATTCACCACCAGTTCAGAATAGACACAGTCAGTGCAGTAAACCACAGATTATGTTGGAAATCTTTGAATCAATATAGCAAAAAATGCTGGCACAGGGTGGCATGTAGGCAGGTTTGGAAGATCTCCAGAGAAGGAGACCCCACAACCTCTCTGGGCAGCCTGTTCCAGGGCTCTGTCACCCTCACAGCATAGAAATTCTTCCTCATATGGAGATTAAACTTCCTATGTTTCAACTTGCACCATTACCCCTTCTCCTGTCACTGGCCACCATGGAAAAGAGCCTGGTCCCATCCTCCCTACGGTCACCCCTCACATACTTGAACATGTTGAGTAAATCTCCTCTCAGTCTTTTCTCCAGACTAAACAGGCCCAGCTCACTTAGTCTTTCCTCATATGATAGATGCTCCAGTTCTTTAAGCATTTTTGTCGCTCTATGCTGGATCTTCCCTTCCAACCTTAACGATTCTGTGATTCTCCAGAAGCTCAATGTTCTTTTTGTACTGGGGAGCCCAGAACTGCACCCAATACTCCAGGTGCGGCCTCACCAGAGCTGAGTAGAGAGGGAGGATCATCTTCCTCGACCTGTTGGCAACGCTCCTCCTGATGCAGGCCAGGATCCCATTGGCCTTCTTGGCCACCATGGTGCATTGCTGACTCATGGTTAACTTGTCAACCAGGACTCCCAAATCCCTCTCCATGGAGCTGCTTTCCAGCAGGTCAACCCCTAACCTGTCCTGGTGCCTGGGGTTATTCCTCTGCTGGTGCAGGACCCTGCACTTGTCCTTGTTGAACCTCATGAGATTCCTCTCTGCCCGACTCTCCCATCCTGTCTAGGTCTCTCTGAATGGCAGCATAATGTTTTTTTAGGAGATATATGAAAATGGGTTATTCTTGATATGACAAAACTGCCTTGCACAGAAAAGTGCACAAGGGTCAGTGAAGATGCTAATGCCCATAACAAAAGAATTAACTTTTGTTTGGCAAGATGTGTATGCTTTTTGCAGGGAATATATGAGCGGCTTCCGCTCACTTCCTGATAGTTTTGCAGAAGAGTGAAATTATTGTAGCACTTGCAGCAAAGCCTGACTCTGATGTGGGCTGCACTGTATCCCTCAGCACTGTTCATGGTGGATCTTCCCATGGCTGCCTTGAGATGCATGGGAAGGCTGCAAACAGGAAAAGACTCCAGAAAGTCTTATATGAGAGGTGCCCTCATCCCTGTCAACCCATGGGGAGGGAATACAAGAGTTTGTGGGAGGAGTTTAACATTTATGACCTAACTTGGAGACAAATTGAATATTTTGGATGGTCAAAATGTGACTGAAACTTGGAAAATCTTCTGGGGAGCTTGTTGGAGGCAGACAAGATTTATGATTTTTGAGTCAAAACACAGCACAACTTTTGCTCCTAGCCCTCCTGGTTCACTGGTTCAGCATGGCAGCAATTAGAATATTCATTAAAAATCATATGAGGAGAAGTGGAAACAGCAATGACTGTATATCAGTGGGAATAAAGCATAGAAAGTCAATAAGACCGTGGGGAAGATTGCTTTTTGTAATATTAAGAGAAAAATAAATCTCAATGATTTATAGTTTCATTTCTAGATTGCAATGATAAAATTAACACTGCTGCTATAAGGCAAATGTACTTAATAAATATTTCTCTTCTCAGTGAGGGAAGATGCAGGATGGTAAATTATATCACAAGAGGAAGATGGACCAGCAGCCTATTTATTATGGAAGATGATGTTAAATAATATCTTTCAGAAATACATATTCTTAGATCAATAGGTCAAGTGTCATCTAAAAGCCTTAAACCTGTTGATAGATGAGTTCAGTTTTCTATAAATATTAATTTTCTGTGCATTTTGGACTACATGGAAAATTACAGACAGCAGACACTTTGTGCCAATATCCAGACAGGTAAAGGCTGACTGGTCTGATATCAACCACAGATTGAAGTGGAAAACTGGATGAAGTTAAATGTTATAGCTGGTTGAATTCATAAATGACTAAGTCATACAGGTATACGTGACTGATAGGCAAGATGTTTTATGGGGAATATGTCTTGTAAATAATAAAAATAAACCAAGTACAAGATTAAATAAGGAGATCTGGCAAGGCAAAATGTGTTCAGTAGGACAGCATGTGACTAGGTGGGAAAGGCATACAAGTGCTATGTAGTTCCCATATTGTTATGAGTCTTCATGAAGAGGGCAATGATAAAGAACAATTTTTATCTATCTGACTTGTATTCTAAAACATCTGCCTTCAGTTTTTGTCTCAATATTGAAATTAAAGTAGAGGTCTAATCCTCTTAAGCCCTTTTGCCACCTTGTTTGATAGTACCTTGTGGGGGAGGAAGGCCAGCTGGTCAGTAGCTATGAAGGTCACAATTCTACTACTACTTATGCCAGAAAGAGTCTGATCATGGTATGAAAAGTTTCACTTAGCCACTTCTGATAAAGAGAAATGCTGTGAGGGGGACTATCCCTTTGTAAGATTTTCTGGTTACCTGCGTTTCCTGATTAGCTCCAGAGAAGTGTTTCTTGACCTAAGAAGACATATCCCAAATGCAGAATGACTGTCTGACAATCCACTCTGTGAAAATACACTATAAAAACTGTTTCTTTCATAGGAGAGAAAAGGGAAAATATATAAGGATATAAAGGCATTAACCGTTCTGAGATAACAGAATGGGATTGCTGCTTACACCAGGCAAGAGCAAAGGAGGCATTTGACAGAGAATGAGTCAAAACCAAGGGATGGAAATCCCTTTTTTTTTATACACTGTGTAGTCAGACCACAGAATTCATTGCTTCAAGAAGTCATCGAGACCAAGTATTAGAAAGATTTGGGCAAGGATCCGATCGGTGTTATTAGCAAAGCCTATTGGGTTATGCACTAATAGATGGTAGAAGGAAAATGTTGGCAGGGAGATGAAACCTTGAGCTTCAGGGCAAAGCTAACCTCTAATTGAGGTTTAAAACGAGGGGCTTTCATGGGATGGGAAGATCATCTCACATGCAGCTACCAAGGAAAATTTTATTGTATTTTATTTTTAAGCATCTGGTTTTGAACAGCAGTTGGAAGAAGCATGCAGGATTAAATCAACCACTGATCTAAACAAGTTGTCAGCTCCTATGTTCCAAAGCTCTTCTTCTTTCCCTTCTTCATGTCACAAATGGTTTGTAATCCAAAAATTTATGCATGCGAAGGAAGTAGTACTATTATGCCTTCTTAACAGTTAGAGTGCGAATAGATTAAGACTGGGATTTTCCAAACACAGCTCACATGCACTAGAATTAGAGAAAATCAGATGTCTGCCCAGGCTGAATGGTCTTGTTCAAGTCTAGAAGAAGCTGTCTGACTGTGGTAGAGCTGAAAAAATGAGCTGAATTAATAAGGTCTTTGCTGTGAAAAATGTGCATGCCATTGAAAACTAAGTCTACAGGCAAGCTTGGATTCCTGCAGGAAACAATATGACTTTACCCATAATCAGATAACTTCTTTTCAAGACCCTTTTGTTTTTCACCTAACTCTTAAGCTCCTTTGACCATGCGATGACTAGCCATGAGACCAAACAATTTCGTTTTGTTTTTCTGTTGTCTTTAGGTGGTAAACTTGTATTTATTGGTCCAGGCCCAGTAGAACTACATGCTCATTACATCCTAATATCTGATGGAGGAGAACTCCATGTGGGATCTTCTAAGCTCCCTTTCCATCACAAAGCTCACATCTATCTGTACGGAAGCCTCCATTCTTCACCAATAATTCCATATGGGATCAAGTTCCTGGCAGTGAGGAATGGAACTCTTTCCATGCATGGTGAGTACCTTTTTTTCTTTTCTTTAAAAGCAAAGCAAAGCACAACTTAAAAAAATGTAAAATAAACAAATAAAAACCTACAGAACTGTTCTGAGAAAAAAAAAATCCCGTTAATTTTCTTTTCTAAAAACAGTTAACTGCATGTTGACGTTAGTCTTTGGTCTAGAATTTTTGTGTTTTTATGTTTTGAGTCAGACTCCTATTGTCATAATATCTCAAGCACCAAATCTCAATGCTGTGCTCCTATAAGAGCTCCTATACTGGGAACTGAGTCATTTTGAAAAGCTGATCTCTAAGAAGCAGCTGGATGGTATCCAGTAGCTATGAAACTCTGGCATTCATTTAATTACCTAGAGGACGCTGGGTTTGTTCATGCCACAAATTAAGGTCTTCATCGTTAAGGTAATCTTTAGATCTATGTTGTGTGCAAGGTGGGTTTGCTCTTCTACTGAAATGAGGAGTCCTTTTGCCCTTGTTTCTCCATGTAACAATTGGCAAGTTCACTCCCCAGACAGCTAAATTGTTTGGAGAGGTCCTCGTATTCCTGAGAGAGGTTTTTGGCTGGTCACACAGGTCCTGTGGCCAGGCCCGTGCTGCGGTCGGCAGCTTGTGCAGCTGGGGTGTGGATGCTACTTCAAAGGAGCAGCAAAGTGCTCCTGGCAACGTGTTCTCCCTTTCTCCTGCATCTCCCCATGCTGAGCTGGCCTCCCCTGTGCCAGTGGTCCCTTTCTAGCATTAGCAGCACAGCTGGCACCTCTGATGCCCTGGAGGGCTACACAGACACACCTGCTCAGAACACATCCTTGCCATAAGTGACAAGCCCAGGGCTATGCAGAAAGTTTGTGGCAGTGCCAAAAATTTCCATCCAAGATGCCCAGTTCTCTGCTGTTGCCATGAGGCTTTTATCTCAAAGGAAGTCCTGCAGCACTAGAGTTGTATGATCCTAGAGTGTAGAAGTGACAAGGGAAAAAAAAGAGAGAAACTGGCTGTGGGTTTGCACAAGTTTTGCCCTATTTTATGGAGCAGAGGACCTCGTATATGGAGCTTTTTGGATGGCTGTGAGGGAGGTATAAAATGGCTGTAGAAGACTGGATGTGGAATTCAAGTCCAAGCTCAACATGAATCAGAATATGAGTAAAAAAGCACTCATGTCAAGATGTTATTAATGTGCTTTTTCTAACTGCAATATATGTCTTAGAAGGAGGGGAAAAAAAGTCAGCACATATCTGAACTCATTTCCCTCCTCTGCGTTCTTGCGCGTCAACCTTCATACTGGTAGGCACTTTGTACCCTCCAGCAGGGCTTGAACTTCCAGCCTCCTGGCCTGGAGGCAGCAATGTTGCTATCTGAGCATTACTGACACGTATGGCTGTGGGTGAAAACGCATGTAAGACACGGAGGGGTCCAATTGGAGTGTACAGAGGGAGCAAGCTGCAGTGCTGCATGATAATCCTGTCCACTCACACATGCTCAGCAAGGTCAGGCGAGGCCAGTGGTTGGAGGGGAGTCCATGAACAGATGCTCTGCTGAAGCAGGAGGGAGGTCAGTGGAGGATGGGGAAGGTCCTCTTCGTTAAAAAAGTATATATGATTTGAATTTGTCTGATGTCAGCTTTCACTGTTTTTCTTTCTGTATCTTCCATTTCCCATTTCACTGCCGTAAAGAAGTTAGTATATATTTGCTTAAACTGTCAGCACTTTAGAGCATAACAAAAGCCTTGAGTTATTCCTTTTTTTTCTCCTTTTTCTTTTTCTTTTTTTTTTAAGCTGTGTGGGAAAATTCAATAACATCTCCTTGTTTCCAGGTGTACTGTGGTGCTTCTCATTTCATTTCTGAACCTATGTCATTAGTGCTGGACTTGCTGCCTCATTGCTTGCAGACAACCCATGAAATTACACGAAAACAGAGCATAAGTAACTCTCATGGGGTTACCCTGGAAACGTGGTAGAGGGAAGTAAACCTGGGTGTCCATGTTAGTACCTTCAAGAGATTTCTTGAGGATATTCCTTACTTTTTATTCAGGACCATAATATCGAGTGATATCTCTTTCCTGGAGGAAGTGACAAGGTTTGATATCCAATGGCGAAACTTAAACTCAAGCTTTCATCGATACTGACTCTGCTGCAAACCCAGCTAGCTTGAAGCAAGTACCCCCTGTGTAAAGTCAGAAAGGATTTGGCAGAAACCTCTGAGAACAGTGTTAAGGGTTGGGACTTACCATTTCCAAACCCCTTTCCAAACTCACCCTAGTTCTGGTGTATCCAGAATCAAGGAGTTCAAAGGCTTTAAGGCATTAACTAAACGGCAGAATATGAAGCCATAGGTAGGTTGGTGCATTAATGAAGATATCTCTTGGCTTCAATTTCTTATCACCCATGCAAGAAATCCAGACTTGTTGTGAAGTCGCTCTTAAGTGCAGCCAACATACACATGCAGTGCATGGCTGCGATTAAGATTTTATTCAAACCATGTAAACCCAAATTCAGCACTGAAGAAGTACAAACCCTATAGAAAATAAGACCAGAAGGAGCATGCGCTTTTGCTGGATTCATATTGCTCTCATCAAACAGAAATATGTTACTCTGGTTCCAATTTAGTGCCAGTCTGGTCTGTGGTATAGAACAAATTGTTGAGCACGTCAGCCCCTTTCATATATATTTATATATAATATACGTATACATAGACACACACGTTATCACAGCTCAAAATCATTAAACAAGCATGCTTTCAAATTCTTAGCTGTCTCGGTGAAGACAGGATCGAGTGCATTTCAATTGCTTTTCTCTTTGAGACGGGGAAGTTTGGGGAACGTTCTGCAGCTACGGTTGAGTTCCGATTGTTTAGCGAGCGCTGTCAGCTCCTCGCTTTGATATGTTAATATGACTAAGGGTTTCCCACAATCCCCTCATGAGCCACAGTCCTTTGCTCCCGCGGTTGTAGCCGGCTGGGAAATTTCGCTGTTGCCTTTGGCTTTAGCCAACTCCCCTGCCAGTCAGAGCGTGCCACCCATAAACTGCCCGTCAATCACCCGTCACTTTTAAAGGGGGTTTCAGTCAGCCGGGGCAACTCGAATTTTTGACAATGTAATTATGGCCCTTGCGTCCATGGTAGAGGCCTGAGCAGGACTGAGAGAATTTTATTGATTGCGCAGAAGGGAAATTTATCACTGTCTCCAGCTCCGTTCGCACTTTATTCCCCGAGAAACTCTCATGACAAGTTGCTGGAGAGAAGTTTAGCGTGGTGGCCTTGGCCGTTCTCATGCCTTTGTCCTTTCTGGGGATACGGCATCACGGGCACCGTGTGGATGTGGAGTGAAGGCTCCGTGTTTTGCTTTCACCGTGGCTGGAGAAGGGGTGGGTGCTGGAGACCACAGCGGGATTGCATCAACCCAGCATTCCTGTTAATGCAGAAGGAAAAATATTCAAGCCTTTTTCCGTTCTGTTCCATTTTTTTTATGCAGCCATGCAGCCATTATTCTACTTGGTTTCGCTGAAGGAGCTTGTCCCTAGGCCCATCCCTAAGATGGGCACTTTTGTTACATCTTTAGTTGAAACCTTGTCATTACCAACATCTGATGATGCCATGGCATGAGCATATGAATCCATTCTCTTCATTTTGACTAATAACATGCGAGCAGAAGATGTTGCACTTCACATTTAGAAACACATTATGCTAACTTTGTCCTGGCTCTGGATGCTGTGAGGTAAAGAAACACAATGTTCTGTTTAACTCCATGCCTATTTCTAACCAGTATAATTAAAACAGAGGGTGGGATTGCTACCCACCTTGAAGTCAGGGGTAGCTCTGCTGCAAAGTGCTTTCTGCCCCTGCAATGGCAATTATTGTGAGCAGATCCTGCCCAGGAAGGTGACATTACACAGGCAATTCTGCACCTAGTAAATCCCAAGCTTCCCTGAAAATAGAGCAATCTAATACACTTTCAGGGTTGACTCAGAGGAAAATATTTTTAATCAATTGAACCAATTATTCATTTTAATCACTTTTAATCAATAATGAAACACAAAACGCTTGTGAGCGGTGCACAGTACCCCACAGAGCCTGAACATTCCTCCAGAGATCAAACATTTAATCAAATGCTCCTTGTTTTTCCTTCATTAGGCAGTGTTATGTATCTGTGCTGAGTTGGAGATTGAGATCACAGACAACATGAGAGAATTTGTTCTGCTTTACTCACATTTAAAAGAGAAAAACTTCCCGGGGAAAAGAAAATCTATAGCAGAAGGTTTCTAGATAGGGTGCAGAGATCTGCTACAGATAAGATGTGCTCCATTACCTTACCAAAATGTTCATATATCCAATACAAATATTATTACCCACTAACTGAAATCACTGATTTGCTCACCCCTGTAACACGTTGAGTTTCACTTTCTGGGGATACTTCCATCATGTGGTTATTTTGTGTGGTGATCGCAGGAGGCTTTTTGCCTTCTGTGGTAACATTTATTTCTTTCAAAATCTTGCATTTGATGCAAGCCACAGGAAGACAGATGGCTCTTGAAGAGGCAACTGAGCAGCCTTGAGCCCCCTTGCCTTCCTCAGAAACTCCACTTTGGCATTTCCCATAGAGCAACTAACATTAAAATTACTTGTTCCTTCACTGTATGTTTCTTATTCACAAGTATAAGATGACAATTAGATTTTAAAGCCTTAGAAGATGGAGAAAAAATAATGAAAAATGTAAAGCTGTATTGAGGGGACACTGCCAAGTCTTTTATAGTTTTTCTTTCTTTCTAAAAAAAAGTACTGCAGAACAGTACATACATTTTTCCATGGTACTTTGAGGTGGGAAAGAGCAATGGCAGGAATTTCTATAGCCCTGTTCAATCACATAGCCCTTCCCATCCTCAGTGAGATAGTCCTCACTTGCTTGAGGGCGTTATTCAAAAGTATTTAGGTGGAACAGCTTTAAGCTGAAAAATTTAGTTTCACAGAAGTGAAAACCTTCTCCCGAAACAGCTCAATATCAAGGATATTTCCTA